ATGTTTTTATGAAATTGTATTCTTTGTTAAATGAAATAATATTGTGCATAATCTTTTATTTTTTATTTTATTTTATTTTTTATTTTATTTTATTTTTTATTTAATGTTTTCCTTCCAAAGAGTCTGACTTTCTAGAAATCTTTAAAAAAAAAACATATAGATTTGGAAAATCTTGTGATAAAGGTCAGGAGGTTTTGTTGAAACTTGGTCTGGCAAACAGATGTCATTTCCTTGAACTTAAAGCCAGTAAAATCAGCCTGATATTTGCTAAAAATGATCAGAATAAAAGTAAATTTTAAACATTTTTATATTTTAAATTCACAGTGTGACGTCTGCATGTTCAGAGAAATGATAGATTTCCCCTCTGATGAATATTAAGGTCTGAAAGTTTCTGCAGTATTTCTGTTGTAAGATCCTAAAGAGGAATTAGATCTTTTTCCCTGTAGTTGTTTGAAATGGTTGGTGCTGCATAAACACATTAAATTGAATTTATTTTAATGTACAACATTCACCGTGTTGGGTTTTTAACGTGGCTGAGGTGAATCATCAAGAACTGAGTCAAAACCGCAACACATCATGCTGTTAATATTTAAGATGTAGATCTTCATAAAGACTGTTTAATGTGTTTTAAACTTTCTTTTTACTAAAAAAAACAACATTTTTGACATCATATACTTATTTATAAACCAACAATCAACCTTTGCTTGTAAAAAATCAAAAATGTTAAAATTTGACTCTGAATGAAAAGAACAAAAAATGTAAATTATTTGAAAAGAACTTTACCAGCAGATGCAATGAGGACGAACCAAACAGCCAAGATGGACAGAAACATTTTGCTGCTGATGGTTGGAGTCGTCCAGACGTTTGGTCTCTGCTCTGCAGCGAAGCCGACTGGATCTGCAGTGAAACGGTTTGCTACCTGCAGCCTAATGCAGCTCAGTCAACCTTTACAGCCCGTAAATAAATGAAATAAATAACAGGAAATGCTTTTTTAAGCAATGATACTTCAGAGGAACATTCATTAGGTAAGTGCTGTGGGTAAACAGAAATGATCACAAGCAAGAAAACAGGAAAACCACATTCTTAGGTCACAATCTAAATCAGTCTCAGCCGGTTCTTCTTCTTACTTTATTATATATTTACATTATAGAAACTCTGCATTGGTGAGATTATAATGAGATAATGTGCAGCACATAGGAGGCCATCAGATAAGCAACTAAGCTAAACTAAACCATAAAAACCAAGCTTAACCCTTCTTTCTTACGTCGCTCTTGACTGTTGGCGGTTGCCATAGCAACCGGTCGCACTCAGCTCCTCCCCTTTTTCTGTCGCTATCTATGATCAGCTCTGTGGGTTTTTCATTATGAGTATTAACAAGTTGCATTTGCTTTGACAGACTTTTAATGTTTTAACCAAACCAGAAGTCATAACTTTACAAAGATTAAAAGCAATTTTTGTTTTTCAGTCGGTTGTTAAACTGATTTTACTGCTACACCCAAACGGACCAGTTAAAGTTTTCATTTCAACAAATGTCAGACCAAAACATTTTCATCAGATACTTCTGAATCACAGATCAGGTCAAAGTTCAAGTCAGCCCTTAACCAAATCCAATAAATGTATGTAAATGGACAGTTCTGGGCTTTGACTAGGCCACTCCAGAATATCCATCTTGTTGTCTTCATACCATTTCAGTATAACTTTACCTGAAAAAGTAATGCTCTCTGAAACTTTACCTCTCTTTCAGATGGAAACTAATTTTCCTGCAGGATTTTCCTCTATTTACTCAATAAGTTGTTTTTGTATCCATCCCCTGACTTGTACTTTCAATAACCTTTTTTCTGATTGGTTGGAGGGTTCCTCAGTCTTCATGCAGTAATGTTAACCAGGATTCCTGATGAACCAGTGAATATTACAATCGCTGCTCTCTGACCTCCATTTCACTCACTGACAGACGACCAGCACCGATTGGCTGGACCTCTGTTGTATTAAGTCAGTTGCTTTAAATGGGGTGAATATTCAATCAGTTTTTACTTTGACATTAAATGTTTTTTATGTTTGTTTTTTGTAAGAAGTTGTTGATTGTAAATGTAAAAGCAATAAAATGTAAAATGTTGAAGGGTGTGAATACTTTTTATTGCCAGTAAATGACAGAGGAAATGTTTTTTTACACATCCTGTTTTTACCTGTTTTTATTTTAGCAGATGAGTCATTAGTTTGTTTTTAGGTTGTAGTGACCCTGAGTGAAAAAGGGTCATTTTCTGATGTTATCTTGAAAAACCTGCCACTCATTTTAAGAAAGAAGAAAAATCCCCACTGGTGTTTTTTTTTAATCTCCTTTCTACAGAAAAACAGTCCAACATTAAATTTAATTGTTAAATATGCAAAGTCAAAGTTTATTGAATCTTTCTGAGCCATTACAGCAACAAATAGAGGATTTAACATAGAACAGACAGCAAACAGGAAGCTGGTATGGATCTGTAATCTGGTTCTGCTGCATTCACACCAGTCCTGGTCAGTCTGATTTAATCCGGTCCATTCGGTCCGTATAAAGTCTGGTTCGGTTGGGGATGTGAGAACTCTGGTCTGGGCAGAAACATTTGTCTCTGGTGCGATTTTACTGAAAATGTGGACACTAAGCAGAACGTAGACCACTCTGAAAGCAGGAAGTGAACTACACGCAGGGCATTCTGGGTAAATGCAACCAAAACAAACATGTTAGCCTAGCGCTAGCAGGAGAAATGGCTCGTGGTTTTTTTTTTTTTTTTTACCAAAGACAAAAGAGAAATCCTCTAACACAGGGGTGTCAAACTCCAGTCCTCAAGGGCCCCTGTCCTGCAACTTTTAGATGTGCCTCTGCTGCACCACACCTGAAAAGAATAATTAGGTCATTAGCAAGGCTCAGGAGAACCGATCTACATAGGGAGGAGGTAATTAAGCCATTTCATTCCACCGTTTTTTACCTGTGGCACATCTAAACACTGCAGGACAGCGGCCCTTGAGGACTGGAGTTTGACACCCCTGCTCTAACATGTAAAATCTGACGCTACCCCATTTTTGTTAACATTTTGTGAAGAAGGAAGTTACTCAGTGTCTTCTTTAGAGGTTTTCATGTCGTTTCTTACAGTGGTCCTTGATGCAGCGCCCCCACAGGCGAGGAGGGGAACGGGTCTTCCATCCATCCATCTTCTGTACACCATAGTGGGGCTGGGAGGGATGCTGGTGCTTCTCCCGCGAACATTTCAGGCGAGAGGCGGGGTACTGTCATGATTTAAGTTTTCTGTGTTTATTTTTGTTCTGTTCCCTGTGAGTCTCTGTGGTGTCCTGTCTCCTCCCCCTTCATGGTTTCCCAGGTGTGTCTCATTTCTGTGATTATCCCCTCTGTATTTACGGCCACCTGTTGTCTCTGTGTCTTGTCGGATCCTTGTCGTATTGTTGTAAGTCTTGTCGTATGTGGTCGTTTATCGTCGTCACAGTAGAAGCGTCTCTTTTCCTGTGTCGGCTTCAGTTCAGTCTATTTCAGATCAGTTGCTACCAGTGTTAGCTTTAGCTTTCCGCTCACTGTGCTGCCTGCTTCTGGGACTGTTTGGAGCTGCATTCATCATTAAACATGCATCTTCTCTTCTATCTGGGTCTGCTCTGCATTACCTCACCACACCCCTGCAATTCATGACAGGTTCACGCATGTTTGCGTGGCTATATTTGTGGGGACTTTCCATTGACTTCCATTCATTTCTACAGCCTAAATCTACCCTTTCCTAACCCTAACCGTAACCAAAACTCACAGCTTAGCCCTAAATCTGACCCTTGACCCAGAAACAGGGTTTCCCCTCGAGGGGACCAGGCTTCGTTCCCCACAAGGAGCAATCGGTCCCCACAACGTAGTATATGTCAGGAAAATTGTCCCCTCAAGGTATTACAAACACACACACACACACACCTCAGT